TATATAGGAGAGTCTACTAGTAATGAGGGAGTAGAGGAAGAGGGGGAGACTGGAGGTCAGCTATTACATGAGGAAGGAAATGAAGAGCAAGATAATGAAAGAGTAGAAGAGTCAAAGGATCATGAAGAACCACAGCATGAAGAAGCAACTGCTCCAATACCTTGTACTGAGATTAGTTCAGATTTTAATAGTAAGTACATCAACATGCAGTGAATATTAATTAATGTATATTTGTGTATAGGTAAAGTAGTAGTTTCCACTGGTATAGTAGAGAATATGGCTTATGCTGGACTGCTTTATTATGAGGAGAAAAGAGCTGAAGATTTAGTGACATTTGCTGCTGCTAAAGATCTTAATGCATTGCTTGAGGTAACTCTGCTAATATTCTGTAATTATAGTGACTTTGTTTGTAGTTTATTAAAAAAGACTGTCCTCATGCTGAAAGAGGACAAAATATTCTCTTTCGTTTCAAAGACTATGATGGATATATGGAATTAAAGTTTGATGCTCCTCAGAAGAAGCCATTCACTGGTTGGAGTATTGAGCCTCACATGGACTCATGCAAAGTAAGAAGGAATGAGCTCCATATGTACTGACATTATGTATATTAATAGTTTCTACGTTGTGATGTTGATAAGTTTGGTGAAGCTAATTATCCTCTTCCTTCCACTTGTCTAATATCAGTATATGGGTCACCTGGTGCTGTACCATCATTGCACTATTCTATACCACTGGATGGAGTGGCTGATCCTAAGACATTATTCATTCACCGATCACTGAGAACTACTCCTTCATTAACAAGTAATAGATAAATCATTGTAATTGTTTATTTATTTAATATTAATCAGATCCTACTACTACCTCCTCCTCCTCTAATTTAGTACATGAATCAATGTTAGTATCATCCACTGGAGGAGCTAGTAAGTGATAATACTGTGTGTATATACTGACCTTTGACCTCTATTAGGTCCATCAGCTACTGTTGATGTCAATAAAGTAAAGAAAGTGATTGATGATGTTCTTGTATCTCATTATGCTACACTCAATTCTCTTAAGACGTCTCTCTCAGATCTTGCCAGTCAGTTATATGCAGCTCATCTTATTAGTGATGAAGTCAGAGAGACTCGTAGCATGGACAAGTTCATTACAGAGTTCAAGGCTAGTCTTAGTTTTATGAGAAAGTTACCTAAAGTGGAGGAGCACTGTCAAAATTTCTTGAACTCATTCATTGCTGTAAGAGGCAGTTATGCTAATGCAGCAATAGCTTTAGGTGAGGACTGGATTGAAGCTATTAGAAATGAACTGGGACTTGATTTTAATATTAATATTGATG